AACTTGGTTTCTGCAGCAGGACAATGATCCAAAACACACCAGCAAGTCCACCTCTGAATGGCTGAAGAAAAACAAAATGAAGACTTTGGAGTGGCCTAGTCAAAGTCCTGACCTGAATCCTATTGAGATGATGTGGCATGACCTTGAAAAGGTGGTTAATGCTCGAAAACCAAAACCAAAAACCAAAATTCCTCCACAGCGCTGTAACAGACTAATTGCAAGTTATCGCAAATGCTTGATTGCAGTTGTTGCTGCTAAGGGTGGACCAACCAGTTATTAGGTTTAGGGGGCAAACACTTTTTCACACAGGGCCATGTAGTTTTGGATTTTGTTTTCCCTTAATAATAAAAACCTTAATTTAAAAACTGCATGTTGTGTTCACTTGTGTTATATTTTACTAATATTTTCATTTGTTTGATGGGCTGGGGGGGGGGGCTAGTATAAGTTATTAATGGCCGGTAACTTAAAATTTTAGTAGCCAAATTGGCTGGTAAGTGGAAAAAGTTAATTTCAATCCCTGATCACCAGTACAACATAGTCATCCACCCACTCTAATAAGTTCAGTAGCCCCATCATACTCTGGTACAAGTGACTGTCCAGTCTTTAAAGCCCTGACTTTCAGTGGAAATTAGTCACCTTGAACCTATGCCAGAAGGAGCTTCTCTGCTTAAATGTAATAAGAGGTCTTGCCAGGGGAGTCAGTGGATGTGGCAGCCACCCCATGCAGGGACCTAACGGTGTCCTGGACCAGTTCTTGATATGTGTGAAATTGAGCTAGGTCAAGGAGTGAACAACTAGGCACCGAAACAGATAAAATAATAAAAGCAGCCTTCTTTGATTCAATGAGGTTGCCTCTTCCTCAGTTTTGGGTATGGACGGCCACTTGTTGATTGGTTGAATCAGGAAGGCTGGTCCTGAGCACCTCTGATAAGGGCCTGCCAACTTTTTTAGTGCGAGACTTTGTGATGTGGTCGGTTGATAGCTGAATCATACCTCCATTCATAAATATTTGTGAGGGTTTGTATCATCTGGGATTGGTGTGCTGTGAAGGCAGTTATCCTTTTTTTTATCTTTAAGTTATCTATTATCTGTTTACTATTATCATTTTGCATTATTGACACACTATTTTCCTAATTAATGCTGTTCAGTTGCTTTGACACAATCTGTATTGTTAAAAGCGCTATATAAATAAAGGCGACTTGACTTGACTTGACTTATCCACATAGAATGAATCTTCCACTATGTCATTTAAGTCAGCCGTATCACTTCTGTGCTCTTGTACATGGTGTTGGAGGGTATAAACAATGCAACATGGGCCGCAAGTAGTACTAAATAGAAGCATATGCCACTCTTATATGTCCAGTTGCATCTCCCTGTGCATTGTCTCACCAAAGGAACCACAGCACTGGCTTGCATACCTGTTGGAACATACCTTTGACGTTTTTGCTAATGGCAATGATATGTTGACGGAACCTCAGGAGGACACCTCAGGATCATTCAGAGATTATCCTTGATGCTGAAAAGAACAGTTAAAGACACTTCTGCCTTTACCATTGTGTTGCACCATATGGTGTGGAATGAACCGAGACTTTGCTATTTTGCATTCCTCCTCTACAGTTATCTTAGCCAAATACCCAGCTGACTTCACTTCACAATTTCAGGGCAGTAAGCCTTCATTTTCTAAGGATCTTGTGCCAGTGTGCACTTGGTGCTTCGTAAACTGGGGAGTACAGCCTCTTTACCTGGCATAGCGTAGTACATGAACACCATCCACATTCACTCTGATGGTTGCATTTTGCAGCAGGGTGTAAGCATTTTGATCCTGTTTAGACCTAGTGACCATCTTGTCATTGTACAGGAGAGTATCATCTTGCCAGAGCCTTTCCATATGCTGAAAGAGATCATATGGAATGCTCCTGGAAACGCATTGGATCCATCGTTCCCAGGAGAGACCATCCCATTTGTGTGCAGACAGCAGTGGGTCCCCCTATTTGGTCCTTTGCATGTGGACTGAATTTTTGTTAGGATGTGAGGCATCGGGTCTGGCCCAATAAGGAGCAATGTCTTCACCCGGTCTGCCGGAAGCAAGCTGTGCTCTGCGAGATACAGACCTGTGTGATTGAATACGTTATGTATAGCAAACAACTTTTTGGAATTAGAGACTGAGAAAGTGACACCTCAGAGAAAGTGATGACCCTTCAACTTTAGTGTGACATTGCTAAATTGTCTGCAAGGGAAGCAACTCAGAACTACTGGCAGGCTTACCATAAGAACAGCCCTGGAGATGTCATTGGAGTCATGAAGGACTCTGAGTTGTAATTCTTTGCAGACCTTTTATGGATTCTTGAGGTTGCAGGTGCCTACTACATTGGCCAATCCACATCTCCAGCAGCGCTTTACCTCTTTAATCCAGGTGACACTCTGGGTAGTGGTCAACTTCTTGAATTGAAGTATCACTTTTATAGAGATCAGCATGCCTGTAGTTTAAACAGTAGGCCATGGTGCTAGCAACGCCAAGGTCATGAGTTTGATTCCCACGGAATGCATGAACCGATGAACTGGTGTGTTGTTTAAATGCAGTGTTACAGGTAACAGATGCAGGTAATCACAGATGCTCAGTTCTCTCTCATATAACACAAACATCCTGGATAACAGCCCAAGCAGTTGTTGCTAGTTCTAAAGTGTTACATCTGTTGAGGTTTCAAAGACAGATTCAAGTCCATGGTAGAAGAAAGAAGTTTCATACAGAAGAGAGTTTTTTTGGAACACTAAGGTTTTTCCTTAGTTATGTATATATTTATTTCATGAAACTTATGTATAAAATCAATATCACACTTCTACTTGTGTGATAAAGCTCATATATGAATAAATATATCTGCAATAATCTTTAGCTGCTAATGTTCACATGATTTAATTTATTGTTAAATAATTCTGTATATGGTAAATTATGGCATTTTCAATAAAAAGTCATTGGTTTGTTAGAGTGAGCGATGAGAAGTGTCTGAAATTGTTCCAAGACGGCGGATGATAGGACTTATATAGGGTGTATTGGCTACTTTCTAGTATAGAAGCTTAAAGTAGTCTACAAATCTATTTCAGTTTACATTTGTGATATGATTGTTGCAGCATTCTGTCAATGTAAGGGCCCATTCACAGCAAAAAATTATAACTATAATGTTAACTACATTAGCGTCCACACTCTTGTTAACCAACTCTGTTTATTCTGGTGCTTTATTTAAGCTGGTGCTACAGTTATATTCTGAGAAGAATAGATATCCACATGACTTCTCTTAGTGTTAGGAGTCTCTTAGTTATAACTTTATCGTTATCGTTATTATCAGTTATAATTTTAGTGTAAACATATCTTATGTCTATGGGAATTTTAGCTTGTTTTTAATTCTGTAAGGTCTGATGTAAGTATGATATATGTAGCTTGAAAGCTTTACACATTCCAGACCCAGATTTGCAGTGTAGTACATCAGAAATAGAAAGGAACATCCATTTACTGTCGGCAACACAACACAACGCATCCAGTATAGACAGCATAATTTCCAAGCTATTGTCAAGCCAACATGATTAACATTTATGTTTTTTTTTAATGTTTAAATTAACATTTAACAGTTTATGTTCTCTTTGTAGATATCGACTTGTTCCTTATGGAAACCATTCCTATTTGGAATCTCTCACAGATAAGTCCAAGGTGGGTGCCACATATAAACTTTGATTAATATATGAAGGAGAAGGAAAAATAATTTTATTTTTGAATTTTTGAGCAATAGTGATGGAGTTTATACAGGTGCGACATTGTAAAAGTGCATGACTGGTTCTTGTTCTAGAGAGAGTCTAATTTACATCTTATTTAAAGGCAGGGAAGGTGATTTGGTTTAAAATAATTTTTGCTATGCTGATTGAAATTCTCTTCACATCCTGATAGCAATCACTTAAGTTTTCTAAATGTATTTATATTGTTTGTGGAAGGTGTAGGACCATAAAATATTCATCCAATCATATCCCTCAGTCTGAGGGCTATGATAGGCTGTCCTACTTGCCTGTCAATGTATGTATTTGCATACCTCCGTGCTCTCTGTTCGTGCAGCCATGATACATCATCAGCATGTTCCATTATGCTATTGCAGACCGAGTGAGAATGGAAGGCGTTATTATTGTAATATAATGTGCTTTGTACTGTAATGTTTTCTCGCCAGTGAATGAGACACCAGGTAATCTGACAGTGTTACATTCAACCCTCCTCCATCGCTGTCTCTCATCATGTCGCTGGTTAGCCTTTGCTTAGCTTGTGCGTGTTCATGTGTTTTGGAGAAGGTGTGGCTCTTGCTAACCTTTCTGAAATCACCTACCCTACCGTTAAGTCTCATTTGCCCTTGTGATATCACAAATCCCACAAGCCATTTTTTGGAGCTTATACTTATTGGATGTTTTAATGGTATAATGACCTCTTATATGTCAAAAGATATAGACAAATATTTATGCCATGATGTATCTGGCTGACTTTAAGATGTGTCTGACAGTGTTTACATTTATTTTGCATCATAATTTTATTCAAAAAATGCAATTGCATTTGTGCTAAACTGCATTCCATGAACACTCTTAAAGAGAACATGTGCACACATATGCACTTAAGCATTTGTCAATAGTTGACTGTCAGTCCGTTATATTTATATATTGAATACTATATTCCAGAATACACAATGGTCTTGTGGGGTTTTCAGAAAGGAAAAAACTCTTGCAGTGGAATGTAAAGTTTTAGGAAGGTACAGTATATTACATAGGAATGATCACTACTATATGGAGGAAGACACCCTTATGTTGTTACTACAAAAATACAGTATGGTTATATATATTCTTATTTTGGCATCAACTTTCTTTTTACACACAGTAGTTTTCAGCTCGACATGGCAGCCACCAAGATGAAACATTTTTTCCTAGAATAGTGTTAAAACTGAAATCTTAATCTCATGTGAGTGTAGATTATCAACTGGTTTTTCATAAGTACTGTTTTATTCTTGAAAGTAAAAACTAAACAAAGCCAGTAAAGGAAATTAATAGGTCATGAAGAGGTTATTTGCATTTCCTAGTGGGCTTAATTCTATTATCAGGGAGACACATTCTTTCCTTTAAAATGGTATTGGAGGAAATGTACTCTTAACATCAGCATATTTTACTTGTTTCCTGTTGTAGGAGTTGCCGTTGTATTGCTCTGGTGGTCTCAGATTTTTCTGGGATAATAAATTTGACCATGCTATGGTGGCCTTCCTTGACTGTGTCCAGCAGTTTAAAGATGAGGTGGAGAAGGGCGACACAGGCTTTTGTCTGCCATATAGGTGAGAATATCCAGAACACAAATTTATATAACAAAAATGGCATGTCATTATAGACCATCAGGCTTTTGCAATATGTAACTCTAGCTGATGCAAGGGAAAGCTACGGAGCACCTAAAGGGGCGTGGTGGTTGGAAAAAAAATTGGGGTAAGAGGAAATTTGTTTCGCGTTCCCTCCAGAAACCTTGCGTTGCCTCGCAAAGATATTTGCGTTCCCTCGCAAAACTTTTGCGTTCTCTCACAAAACCAGTTGTGTTCGGACAAACACTTCCTGTTTACTTTACAGCTTGTAAGTTAGTGGTTCGTACAGCTCATACGTTCATAATGGAGCGGTCCATAGAGTTTTATTTTAAACTTGGACTCAAGTTCAAATACAGTCAGCTTTGCTTATAGTTTAAGGTACGGTTTTGGGACATTCTAAAACGCTTAATGTGGCTTAATGTAGGCTACTATAACAGTGACACTGGAGGCCCAATTCGGTATTAGGCCTAATAAATACTATTAATACTAATAACAATTGTAATATTAATGACCTCATTAATTACTATCAGTAAAGCAGATAGACATAATGCAACGTTTCTCCTCCATTTAAAACCGTTAGGCTACAGAAAACGCTTAAGGGAGGCTAATGGACGAAGACGGTAGCCTATAGGCTAAAACCAAAATATGGTGCACAGTTTATTAATAAAATATAGCATATTATGCACAGGAAAGCAGACAAGCCCAGAATAGCTATAAACAAGCCAAAACCTCATTTAAAGCGAAGCTGAAAGTATGGGCTCACGTACCGCTCTCATTCAGCACAAATCCAAATGTTTCCATATTCGCAATGTATTTGAAACTAAACCATTATTTATTCAATTAACTGGGCTTTGTACGTTCCAATATCGAAGGGGAAAAAGTCATAATGAACAAAAATATGCCGCACATGAGTGGACCGGGCTCACGCTGTATGGCACAGACTATAATACAGATTATTTAAATTGACTGTGTAACATTTTATCTGTATTGGTGATTCTATGTTTTATTTTAATAATGAACAGGCCAAATGTGACATTAATTTTATATAACAGTTCAACAAAAAAGGCAATATTAAGTGTACATTTTACATTTTAAATGTAGCCTACATTTAAAACATATTGTCAATATTGTTTGTTATTTTTTACAAGGAAATAATAGTTCCAACGAAATCCGCAACAGAACAGTGTTTCGTTAGTGAATGAATCTGCAGCTTTGAATGATTCGGAGAGTACTGATAAATCAGAACTGATTAATAACCCTTTCATAACTACAACCAATTGCGTGGATTTTCCGTTAGTTTTGAATGGCGTGCCTGACATTGGATCAAACTTTACCCGATGAGCAAAACGATGCTGGATCGACGTCGGAGATCAACGTCGTTTGCACGCCACGAGAAACATCGATTCTAAGTTGATTATATGTTAGTTTGCGATCTGGGTCGTTACTGAATGAATGAATGCTTTGCCTTGCTCATTAGACAGTGACTTGCCACCACCTACTGGCGATTTTAGTTTTGAATCTAGAAGTATAACTTAGTTTTGCCATCATTTATTGCTTTATTTATTAATAATACACTTAATGAAATGTGAAGAATATGACATAAAACATGACATAGGCCTACAATTAATAAGGCTAGAAAAACTTTGCAGTAAAAATTAACATGGAAAACAATTTAAGGGGGCAGATATTGTCCCTTAATGGAAAAGGTGTGACTGCGGTCTAAGTGGGGGTACTCAGAAGAATGTTAGGCTAAATGCCCTAGGGGGTACGCTATTGGAAAAGGTTTGAGAACCACCGGCTTAATGGATTACTGCGTTGATTGCCTGTAGTATATTTTTAATAAAATATAAAATGTGGGCTTTTTATATCACTGTCTTCTTATATTAAACCACGTTAAGCGCGGTTTTCTATGGGGAAGAAAACGCTTATCATGCAATTCAGCTCATATGGGCTCATCTGTTTGCATGTACACAGAATATATTTTTAATAAGTTCTATAGCATTTTTTTAATCACCGTCTTCATTAAGCCGCGTTTTCTTTATGGGAGGAAAACGCTTCTGTTCTTACCTGCTTTCATGTATAATTTATTAATAAACTGTATACCGAATTCGTCCTTTTTATACCACTATCTTAGTCCATTAATTAAGCATTTTCTTTCTATGAGGGATACTCTTAAAGTGCAATTCAATTTACCGGGTTACGTTCATATTCTGGGCTATTCTGCTTGTCTGTATGCTTTATTAATAAGGTATGTACTGAATATAGTCATCCAGTGGTTTACATTAAGCATTTTAGAATGTCCCAAAACCGTGCCTTGATAAGCACTGACTATTTCATCCAAGTTCAAAACAAAACTCTATGAACTGCTCCACTGAAAACGTACGGAGCCCCTAAAGGGACATGGTGGAGGAAAAAAATCAGATTGAGTGAAATAATTTGAGGTGGGAGGATTAAATATTTGTCAGATTTTTTGCGTTCTCTCGCAAAACTTTTGCGTTCCCTCGAGAAACTTTGCGTTCCCTCGCAAAACTTTTGCGTTCTCTCGCAAAGATATTTGCGTTCCCTTGCAAAACGCAAATATCTTCTCACAAAGATATTTGCATTCCCTTTTGCGTTCCCTCGCAAAACTTTTGCGTTCTCTCGCAAAGATATTTGCGTTCCCTTGCAAAACGCAAATATCTTTTGCGAGAGAACGCAAAAGTTTTGCGAGGGAACGCAAAAGGGAATGCAAATATCTTTGTGAGAGAACACAAAAGTTTTGCGAAGGAACGCAAATATCTTTGCGAGAGAACACAAAAGTTTCGCGAGGGAACGCAAAGTTTCTCGAGGGAACGCAAAAGTTTCGCGAGAGAACGCAAAAAAAAATTTCAGAATTTTTTTCCCCACCACCATGTCCCTTTAGGGGCTCCGTAAGAACGTATGGAGCTGTATGAACCACTACAATCTGTAAAGTAAACAGGAAGTGTTTGAATGGAACTCAACTGATTTTGCGAGAGAAAGCAAAAGTTTTGCGAGGGAACGCAAATATCTTTGCGAGAGAACGCAAAAGTTTTGCGAGAGTACGCAAAAAATCTGACAAATATTTTTCCTCCCACCCCAAATTTTTTCACTCAATCTGATTTTTTTCCACCACCATGTCGCTTTAGGTGCTCCGTATTTAGGTGCTCCGTAGATATTCATATATATATATATATTAGTTATTTTGTTATATTACTGAATATTACTTTTCACAATGAATTTAATTCCAAAGCAACATGTGGTGTGGAAATTATAGTCATATAGAACTGTGATGCAGTCAACAGAACTGGAACTACTTTTTTTTTTTAAATGCAGTAGACCTGAAAAATAATCTGTCAACCAGTTTTAGAGTGCATTAGTTATTTTGTTATATTACTGAATATTACTTTTCACAATGAATTTAATTCCAAAGCAACATGTGGTGTGGAAATTATAGTCATATAGAACTGTGATGCAGTCAACAGAACTGGAACTACTTTTTTTTTTAAATGCAGTAGACCTGAAAAATAATCTGTCAACCAGTTTTAGAGTGCACTCCATTTATATTACCATATAAATGACTAATAAACAACAACAAAAAACATTTACTTTGGGTTTTAATTTATTATTTTTTTTGGTGGTGTGTGTTGGGTGGGGGTGCGGCTGGGTGATAGTAACCCACTTTTTTTTAGGACTACACCACTGCTTAACAGTGTGAATTTTTTGCTAAAATGCAGTGTCATTATGTTAGATTTAACGGAGGTGTTGAGGCGCTCATTGGCACCCACTTTAGCTGGTGGTACCCTAGGCAACCACCAGGTACTTGGAACGTTGTGTAAAAGAACAATATTTAAAAGCACACGTCCAGTTTTGTGTGAGTGAAGGAAATCCGCTTGGGAGGGGAGAGATTCGTCCTCGCGCGCATGGATCGCGTAACATTATGCGCTCTCGACATTGTCATTAAGATCACACTATAGAAACTGCCTAAAATTAAGCATAAAGAAGAGAAGAAAGCGGCCCTAGGCAGCTGCCTACACATGCCAGGATCCGCCACTGCCAGATGCAGTTAGAAATTTACTAAAAACAAGCCTATCGCAAGACATCTGGTGGGGGGGCACCTGGGGTGGCCAGCCAAATTAAAAATGTAGCTATATAAATATGTATATAACAAACATCAGAAAAAAATAGGAAACAGTACCTTTGTTTTTCGTATACTTTTGTCGCTTACTATTAAAGTCATTTTCGGATTGTATTGTTGTTTGCAACGTTACTTGGCAATATTTTAAAGATATTATTATTATTATTATTATTATTATTATTATGGTATTTTGCATGGTCTATTATTGGAGTAGTGTCACCTGGGTGGGAGTTTGAACTCCTATTCACTGAGAATAAAAATAAATGAATAAAAAAAATCATTCAGTCCATGCAGAGACATGTAGAGCGGGGGAATCTCCCATCTCCCCACCCCCTGAATATTACGTATCATAACGTAACTACATTATTTAGCGGGTTTTACTTGGAAAAGCAGCTGATTTCTATCATTCAAATAACTGTGGATAAACCTGAAACTATAAGAAGGATTGGAAGGGGGGGTTGTCTTAATCTTATCACTCAGCATACCCGGTTAAAAAAAGTCACCGCTCGCTACTGCTATATACTGTGTGTGTATATATATATATATATGTATGTGTGTGTGTGTGTGTGTATTTTTTTTTTTTTGATAGGGCCAATTAATCTGCTAATATCTCATTTTTGTTGATTTTATCATGTATTTGTGTTTGCACTGAAGATTCTGTTTTTCTTCTGTAATTAGAATGGATGTGGACAAAGGAAAGATCGAGGACACGGGTGGCAGTGGAGGTTCTTACTCTATTAAGACTCAGTTTAACTCAGAGGAACAGTGGACCAAAGCCCTCAAGTTCATGCTCACTAACCTGAAGTGGGGTCTGGCCTGGGTCTCCTCGCAGTTTTACAACCGTTAGATTTGATCTCGACTCTGACACCTGATCAATGACACCAGGAAACCACATGAAATCTTCACAGTACTAAGATGAGAATTTACCTAATTAAAATCTTTGTGTGTGTGTTTTGTTTAACTGTTAAACACCATTAAATACCAGTGATGTGAATTTGTGTTTGGTATATTTAATTTGCATAGCTAGGAATATTAGAGGTGAGAAGGGGATAGTGGGATGTTCTTCCTGAATGTTTTCTTGTCTGGAACTGCCCAGGAGTCAAGTGCAACTTTAATGGTTATTCTTACTCAGCCATGTAATATGACAGAGGTAAGAACATATATACTGTATAGATTTAGAAGTACTTCAACTACAAAAGGCTTATAGAAGATGAAAATTGGCTGCTCATGGTATTTATGTTTACTTATACATTGTAACTATAAAATAACAAGCAGTTTTAAACTCTTTTATGATAATGATCCTTTTATTCTTTTTGGCATCTGTTAATGAACTGATAAGGCCGTTTTTATAATTATATAAAATTAAATTATCGTTTCTCATCCATTCTAGCATGGTTTCACCCATAACATAACTCGAATACACTACATGACTACAAATCAAAAACGGTTCAAAATATGAAACATGTTTGATATCCTGGTTGGAATCATAGTCTGAAGCTAAGAAATAAGCATGTGGCCATCATTTCACTACGTGAAATCTGTCAGCTCAAATCTGCAGACAGGATCTGATCTTCAGAAACTAAAAATCTTGGCAAAAATCTGGGAAAAATGTCTTGTAGTCTATTCTAGACATAAATTATCTAAATACCCTGGATACACCAATTCCACTTTTTCCTGTTGGTACTTACTGATACAGATTACCAATACCTGTATTTTCATTGCATTTGTAATTTTTATTATTGTTCCATTTTTTTATTTAATTTTTTGGTTTGTTTGTTTTTTTCCTTTCATTCAAAAGCACGGTGCACAAGAGCTGCTCCAGTGCAGCAGCACAGTAATCACATTAAATTTTCCTGTAATAATGCAAGGAACCACTCATACATACATATGCAGTGCTTGAAGTGGGCCGGTATGCACCGGTCCTGGCAGTTCAATATTTTAGTCTTTAGCATACTGGCACTTTTTCGTGCATACATTTTCTGGCATTTTGCCGGTACGGAGTCAAAGCGTCAGTGTCTGGTTGATTAGAAATTACACAATAAAGCACACTACCCAGGAGGTCATTTGATACCAGTAAACTTCTGGAAAGTTCAAGAATCCAGTAAGGGAATGCATTAGTATAAGTAATAAGTTCAAAACAGCGCTAATGCAGAGTAAGCACAGACGATTTCATCAGAGATGGCGGAGAGAATAGTGACTCGCATTCAGATAGCAGTAAATTATTATTTTCTGTGTATTTGGCTTAAAAGCAAGAGTGTATTATAATGAATGCCGGCTGAAGGTGTTTTAGATTATGCACTGGTCAGTGGTTTAGATATTTTGAATGGATCCGTATAGTAACGTACAGTCAGGACAAGGCAGCAGGTTTAGTGGTCTTTTGGCATCTCCCTGTGGTCCTGTTTGATATCACAGCTTAACTGAAGCTTATTTATATTAAAAATGCTCTAAACTATTTTTTCTTTCTTTCTTTCTTACTTTCGACATTATATACATACATTGGGAATTATGACAATTTATTAATTAATTCTTTTTTGGGGGGGATATATTTCTGAATATCCAAGGTTTTTATATGGTCACGCAGGTTTGTGGAGTTTGTATTGTTCCCCCGAACATGTCCCTTCTCTGCCACCTTTTTGTCATGAAAAGTGCTTTTTTTTCCCATTAGGCCTACATAGAAATTTTTTAACTAAAAAACCGATGTAAATTTAAATATACAAACACTTCCAGGAAACCATTAAGAAGCAATAAAAAAAACAACATAAAATCAACGAAGGGAGTAATCATTATTTACATATGAAGAGGATAAGTAAAGATAAATTTAAAACATAACTAGAAATAAAATTTAAAAAAAACATAAGCAGGCTGAACTTATTCAGTCACAAGAAATTAATTTTTCGTATATCTTCAAAATCTTATTACATTTTTATTGCTAGTTAAACAAAAAAAATGAGCAGTGAGTCTACCTCAATCAATAAGTGTGACAGAGTAGGAAGTGAGCCCATACATTTTTATTTACACGAGTAGGAAGTGAGCCCATACATTTTTATTTACACTAAACAAAATTATAAACACAACACTTTTATTTTTGCCGCCATTTTTCAACTCAAAGATCTAAGACTTTTTCTACGTACACAAAAGGCCTATTTCTCTCAAATATTGTTCACAAATCTGTCTAAATCTGTGTTAGTGAGCACTTCAACTTTGCAGAGATAATCCATCCGACTCACAGATGTGGTATATCAAGATGCTGATTAGACAGCATGAATATTGCACAGGTGTGCCTTAGGCTGACCACAATAAAAGGCCACTCTAAAATGTGCAGTTTTACTGTACTGGGGGGTCCGAAAACCAGGCAGTATCTGGTGTGACCACCATTTGCCTCGTGCGGTGCAACACATCTCCTTCGCATAGAGTTGATCAGGTTGTTGATTGTGGCCTGTGGAATGTTGGTCCCCTCCTCTTCAATGGCTGTGCGAAGTTCCTGGATATTGGCAGGAACTGGAACACGCTGTCGTATACGTCGATCCAGAGCATCCCAAACATGCTCAATGGGCGACATGTCCGGCGAGTATGCTGATCATGCAAGAATTGGGATGTTTTCAGCTTCCAGGAATTGTGTACAGATCCTTTCATTATCATGCTGCATCATGAGGTGATGGTCGTGGATGAATGGCACAACAATAGGCCTCAGGATCTCGTCACGGAATCTCTGTGCATTCAAAATGCCATCAATTAAATGCACCTGTGTTTGTTGTCCATAACATACACCTGCCCATACCCTAACCCCACCGCCACCATGGGCCACTCAATCCACAACATTGACATCAGCAAACCGCTCACCCACACGACGCCATATGTCTGCCATCTGCCATGTACAGTGAAAACAGGGATTCATTTCTTACGAGAACACCTCTCCAGAGTGCCAGATGGCATCGAATGTGAGCATTTGCCCACTCAAGTCGCTAAGGCACACCTGTGCAATAATCATGCTGTCTAATCAGCATCTTGATATGCCACACCTGTGAGGTGGATGGATTATCTCGGCAAAGGAGAAGTGCTCACTAACACAGATTTAGACTTGTGAACAATATTAGAGAGAAATAGGCCTTTTGTGTACATAGAAAAAGTCTTAGATCTTTGAGTTCAGCTCATGAAAAATGGGGGCAAAAACAAATGTGTTGCGTTTATAATTTTGTTCAGTGTATGTATAAAAAATGTACCAAACAAAATTAAAAAGTTGAAAATATATTTTTTAGATTCAGAAATGCACTTATTTTTGAGGGTACAGGAGTGAATGGGGGGGGGGGGCTTCTGTTTTATTAAATTTTTCCTTTTTTATTTGAAATAATCCCAAACATGTTAACTATATCATGAAATATTTTGATTATCAAATATGTGTAAGTAAATGCATTTTGCACCTTTATAGATCATAGTTGATCTATAACGGGCATTGGGCAAAGTAGACTAATGTTAGTGTAATCTTACTACACATAAAGCCCGTCTTTTTACTTAAAGATGCAAAAGGTAACTATTAAGGTAATAATATAAAAGGTAATATTTTTTGTTATGCTGGTTGAAAGTCTCTTCACATCCTGATAGCAATCATTAAGTTAAGTGTTCTAAATGTATTTATATGTATTTATATATTCTGTGGAAGGCGTAGGACCAAGAAATGTTCATCCAATCAAAATGTTCGGTCCGAACATTATGATAGGCTTTCCTACCTGCCGGTTTGAATGGGCATGTTCTCTGTTTAGATTTGTTGGCATTGTCCGTGTAATAATTAAATTTCTTTCAAATTAAAAGATTGTGTAAAGGTGGGGTGTTTGTTTAGATGGGAATACAAGTCAAACCAAAACTTCTGAACCAATTCACAAGTAAAAAACAATGGCAGCTGGTGCTAAATAATGTTAAAGCACAGCTCTGTTTTGACATTGGCTTGTCAGATAATTTGTTACGTCCATTGCTACAGTTATCACCGTCTCTCGCGGATAAATTTGGCAGATTCACTCGCGTAATTTTTTACACTCGCGTTTGTCATTCCTGAAACAGTATACGTGGACGGTTTGGTCCTCTTAAACTTTTCTTCAAACTGTGAATGTAGTATGTAAGAGACACCGAGCAAAGGGCGCTTCCATTATGGTGCAACTGTCTGAGCTTACTCACGCAAAAACTCCTGATATAATCAATAACTAACTACACAATGAATATCTTATTTACATCGTGTATAATTTATTTTTGTCTTGTTATAATGGGAAGCTCTGTGAGCTTGTAGAACTATGTAAACTTGGGGGAAAAATTAGATCAGGGCTGATTCTGACTAACCTAAATTTAACACCTCTGACTGACTTGCTTTCAACAGAGAAGCCTGTGATTAGCTACAAAACTAAATGCTGCAAAACACGTTGTAAATAGAAACATTTGGTTTCGTAATTAGAAACCAGAGCGTGCACACAAAAACATACAGGATCGTTTGAAAGCGGGTGACTTCGAGCGGGTACAGAATTGAGTTGATAGTACTGTCTGGAACTGTAAAAAGACCACCCCACCCCACCAAACTATTTTAAAAACTCAGCGGATCTACACGAATCACACAAATGACCCATTTTGATTTCAAAACAGCGAATTTCACCGAAAGGTGACAAGTTTGCATCCCTGGTACCGAAACTTGCCAAGCGGTGACGCTGGTGATGTGCGCGTCTTTCCCGGTACCACCTATTCTATTGCAGCCTATATTAATACCTGCTAAACACTACATAATATGCTGCTGCAAAGTGCAACCCTAGCTAACCTGTTTCCCAGTAACCCTATTAGTAATTGGACTATTACCAGTAATTCATCTTGCAAATAATTTAACGAAAATAAGCTGGAATTAACAACAAAAACATTTATTTGTCATATAATTATCCTTAAGTCAGTCTTATCTCCATCATTTACCGCTGTCATGTTTTGTCATGTTTCCTCTTTTTGCTTTTTTTTCGCTTCTGGCTGCCATACGGATAAGTCCTC